GCTGAGTGGGGGCGAGCGGACCCCACGCGTGTACGGACCCGGGTGGGCAGCTGCTCCGCGCGCGGCTCTTACCCCCGGGGCGCCGGTCCCGTCCGTTAACTTCCAGGCGATGTGGGAAAACCAACCAACCAACCAACAGAAATAGAAGTTCCCTTCTGGTATCTTTCCTTACTTTGACCGATTTCCGTTGACTTTTTATCCGGTTTCGCTCGAGCGTCTCGGAGGCGAGTCGTCCCGGCCGAGCCGCGGTTCCGGTTCGGGTTCGGGTCCGGGGTAAGCGCCGGTCCGCCCTCCCTCCTCTCTATCCGCTCCCCGGGGCTGCCGTGGGGCTGCCGGGCTCGGCGTGTCGCTGCTCCGCCGCCCGGCTGCCCGCACTCTCCATCCCCACGGGGGCGCTTAAAGCCGACACACCGCCCGCCCGGCCCCCAGCTCCCGGTTCCTGCCTCGGCTGCTTCACGCCGCCTCTCCGCGAAACGGCTCCGTGTCCGACCGTCCGTGGCGCTGAGGCACCGTGGCAACGCGCCGCCGCCGCGCCCGCAGAGCCCCGCCGACTGGCGGCGCGCTCCCGGAGCGCTGGGGCGCGCCCCCGTCCCCTCGGACTCGGCTGCTCCGAGCTCCCTGCAGCCACAGCGCCGCAGCGCGACACAGCCGAGAGGCCAGCTGGGCGTTAAGAGCTGTTTTGAGCGGAACGCTTGAGCTCCCGATGCATGTACGCGCACAAAACGTCCCTTTAAAGCATGCGTTGGTTGTTCTATTCGATTTTCAAACCTATATGCCTGTAAGTACGAAATGTTTTATAAATACCAATAAATTAAGCTCCCGACACCAGTTTTTCTCCTCCAGAGTCCGGAAACACGACGTTCTCAGAAACTTTTGCTCCAAACTTTGAAATGTATTCAACGCGCAGTGCCTTTCAGAAGTCACAATACAGCCAACAATATAGTTATTTTAGTGGAAAATCGCAACTGGCCACGTCCGTCTCCAGAACAGATCTGAATTCAATTGAGCAGCATTTTGCACACTGAAGAAAACCTCAAGGACCGACAGGAGCTCGAAAGCACAGACTTAGTTAAAGGTCTCCAACGATCACAAGGAGTCTGAGCTCACTGGGTCGTAGACTTCATGCAGTTTTTACCTCAAAGCGATAGTCAATTAATTACTTTTCACTCTGAAAGTACCTTGAAATTAACTAGTAATATAGATACTGGAAAAAACTGCTATAAAAGCAGCATGTTTTTGTTACAATACGATCGCATTTATGCACGTAATTAACCAAAAACAGAACGTATATTATATCGTACTTGTTACTCATATCAGTCTCATGTTCACAAATACACATTCCTTGGCTGTAACACCAGTAAGAGGTTTGAGTTTGCCGTCGCCACTCTTTTGCAGGGCTCTTTACCTGCAGAGGAGAGTGCTGTATTGAGGTAATATCTGTATCCGCGGCCGTTTGAATTAATCCGAACTGACTCAAGTACGCGAGCTTCGTAGTGCAAACCCACCTCTGTTCAGGGAGTTCGGTTCGGTTCGGCTCGGCCAGTCACACAGGGTGTCTCTTGCGAATCAAATCGCCGCGGAGTTGGCATTCCTGCACCACACCACTTTAACACAGTGCCGTATCTGGGAATTCGGAGGACACGCACACTGAAGAACATGCAGACTCCACACAGAAAGGTGTCGGGGTGGTTTGCTGGGGGTCTGCGCTCCTCTTTTGGAGGCCAGATTTGTGCTGGACACTGTAGGGCTTGTGAACACGTCAGGTGACTGGACGGCTCACATGGTCACAGAAGTATCACGCCTCTCACCCCTTTCTGGATAACTGAGAGCATGGGACTGGA